AGGCCAGAAATGTGCATGCGTACTCCATGAGGATGGTGTGAGGGCCCAATGTCCACAGATGGGGGTTGTGCTCACAGTCCAACACAGTGCAGGATGCTTGGCATTTGCCACAGAACACTTGGAGAGCGACCTGCTGGCTGCAACATCCTTCAGCATGACTGGTTTGGTAGTGGGACACTAATGGTGTCGGATGGCATTTTTTGGCTCGCCAGAGGTAGCGTGACTGCAATTACCGGTAAGTACCGAGATGAGATCCTCAGACCACTTGCAAGACCATATGCTGGTTCCGTTGGCCCTGGGTTGCTGCAAATGCAGGACAATGCTAGACCTCATGTGGCTAGCGTGTGTTCACAGTTCCTGCAAGATGAAGGCACTGAAGCTATGGACTGGCCCACCCGTTCCCCAGACCTAAATCCCATTGTGAACATCTGGGACATCATGTCTGGATCCATCCACTGAAGTCACATTGCACCACAGTCTGTCCAGCAGTAAAGCGAATGCTTTAGTCCAGGTCTGGGAGGAGATGCCTGACGAGACCATGCACCTCCTCATCAGGAGCATGCCCAGGCGTTGGAGAGAGGTCATACAGGCACATTGAAGCCACACGCACAATACTGAGCCTTGTTTTGACCTGTTTTAAGGACATTACATCAAAGTTGAATCAGCCTGTAGTGTTTTTCCACTTTAGTTTTGTGTGATTTTTGTGGGATTCTGTTGTCAGCACACTCAACAATGTACAGAAAAAAGTATTCAATGAGAAAATTTCATTGTTTCAGATCTAGGATGTGTTGTCTGAGTGTTACCTTTGTTTGTTTGAGTAGCTAACATTATTTCTGTTTGAATAAAACTGTCATTATTAAAAGTAACCTGTGAAATCCAGATTAGTAGTTTTACTACCAGAAAAAGTAGGGTTTATATTACTATTTAAGCCTTGGGGGAATATTTAATACAAAGTTGTTGTTTTTTTAATTGAATTTAATAGTTTTGTTTCATTAATTTCCTCTTTTTCCTAATGGCTCTCCATAGATAACCAAATATGAGTGCTTTGATCACCTCTGTAAAGGAAGAGACTGAGTTCCTAAAGCAGTAGTTATCACGTGTAATAAAATACACACAATAAAAGGCTATAACCATCACTTCTTGCAGTGATCCTTTCAGAAACGATAAGGTGTTAGGTAAGACGTCACCTGTTAACACGTCGGATGAACCCAACATATAATTATTAACTCCATGTGTTGATGCAAGAGTAAGTTAGGTCACAAAATTACAGTTTTCCCACTGCTGCCTGGAGCCGACGCACAGCAGATGGTCTCCAGCTGCCAAGATGATGGAAGAGAAACAACAGAAGCTCAGCTTGAAACGAGAAGTGGGGCTGATAGGAGCCGTGTCGCTGATTGCAGGGACGATGATTGGATCTGGGATCTTCATGTCCCCGCAGACGGTTATCTCCTCTATTGGCAGCACAGGAGCCAGCCTGGTGGTGTGGGCCAGCTGTGGCGTACTGGTGATACTGGTGTCTTTCTGCTATGCTGAACTAGGTACCGTTATACAGGAGTCAGGAGGAGAGTACATCTATATTCTGAGGACATCAGGTCCAGTCATGGCCTTCATGTTGGCCTTCAGCTCTATCATATTTGTGAGACCTGCAGGTGTCGCAGGCATCTCTCTCAGCTTTGCTCAGTATGTTGTGGCTCCTTTCTACCCAGAATGCACTCCACCAGTGCTGATAGTAAAATTTGTGGCTGCAGCTGCAATCATAGTTTTAGCCATTGTAAACTGTATGAATGTACGCTTTTCGATGATAGTGCAGGTGTTTTTTATGGTGGCTAAGGTTGTGGCCTTGGTTGTCATCATTGTCGGAGGGGTGGTTCTGCTTGCCAAAGGAAACACGGAAAACTTTGAGGACTCCTTTAAAAACTCCAACGTGGGCATCAATCCAATTGGGATTGCTCTCTACCAGGGACTGTGGTCCTATGATGGCTGGAACAATCTGAACTATGTGACGGAGGAGCTCAAACGTCCAGAGGTAAGGGGAAGTTAAAGGCCAACCCACAAGCATCAGTTGCCATTTTCACTCATGTGTGCATGACTCAACAGTTTCCTCTGCTCAAGGCAATACCGTAAGTCTCAGCGGTTGCTGTGTTTACTCTAACCCAGTCTTTAAATTGTTGTTGGAGTTTACAGAAATTTCCTCCGATTTCCTTTTCATTTTTGGCTGCTGTGTTGGGAATCATTGTCCTGATCAACTTAAAGGGACAATTTGTGTTTAAGCTGTAATATAAGTTAAGGAAATATCCAAGAAAATATTTGCAACACATGCTGCTTTAAAGCCTATACTCATTACAGGACCTATGAAATGACTCATCTATTGCAGAATTTTCAGTGATTGCTAGGTCCCCAGGGGCCCTCACCGCACACATACATACTATATATATAGATATATNTATATATATATATATATATATATATATATATATATATATATATATATATATATATATATATATATATAAAATCCATATCCTAACATTCATGTAAAATCTGTATATAGGTTCCATATTTATTTATTTTATAGTGTCTTACAATTACTCTCTGTTTAAATATACCATCTATAGTCAATACAGACATAGTCTATGGGTTAGTGCAAATCATGTGCACATGTACATAAATATCTATATCCTGTATAGCACTTCTGGATAGATGCAAACTACATTCCGTTGCTTTGTACCTGTGAAAATGTAATGACAATAAAGTTGAATTCTATTCTAATCTAATTCTATTCTAAATAAGATTTTATTCTTAGAGAAGATACAAAAAAGATAAATCTCTCCAAACAAGAGAGAGATATTTTTTTCCTGTTTTTTGTTTTAGCAATTTCTCTGAAAAAAGTCTGACCTTAGGGTCAATTTTCAGGGTAGTTCATTCTTGAGAAGTTAGTCAGTTAACCTATAATTTAAGCTTTTTTTTTTTTCACAATATAATGGATGATTGGCAGCAATCACTGTGTCTTAAAGGTTGCTGAGTGTCCTATTTGGTGTTGTGTTCACACATAGTCCCATGCTCTAAGCAGGTGTTGTCACACCTTCTTATCGTCTAAGAAATAAATGTTTTTATCAGCCCCTAGCTACACATTTCTGCAGCCAAGTCCTGCCTTTCACTTTCAGCATGCTATCACAGACAGGCTTTTTCATGTTCATTCTATATTTGCCATCTGTTTTAACATTTTTTTGCTTTCTGAACTTTGACTTTAACAAATATATTTTTTTTTCTCACAAGGCTGTGCATGCTGCAGGCACTTAGTGCTAGTGTATCAGTGGTTTACATGTAAATGAGCAATAAAACCAGCTCAAGCCAATTTGACAGTTTGGAGCGCTGACAAGAGTTACATTAAATTTGACCCTACTTTGTCATATTTTATTGGGTTGCTACGACAAGCATAGTCAAAGGACTAAATGTTTCATTAGTTTATCTCTGTAAATTCCAACTTTAAAACATTCAAATGAATAAGGCTGTTCAAAAATACAGTTACAGCCTGTTGCTTAGTTTAACATTACCTAATGGTTCACTTTAAACCTCCAACATGATCTGGGATCGTTTAGTGTAAATTCCTCTCAGCAAGCAGTAACATCACCTGCGATGGAGGAAGGATTGAGTCTGAAGAGAGAAGTTGGAATAATAGGAGCTGTGTCTTTCATTGCTGGGACTATGATAGGATCTGGGATCTTTGTTTCTCCCCAGTATGTCCTGCTGGCAATCGGCAGCACTGGGGCCAGCTTCATCATCTGGGCCTGCTGTGGACTGACAGCCATGCTGGGTGGACTATGTTATGCTGAACTGGGGACAATCATACCAGAGTCTGGAGGGGAGTACATCTACATGCTACGGACTACGAGGAGAGTCATTGCCTTCATGTTTGCCTTCAGCTTCATCAGTGTCATGATGCCCGCCAGCGCCACAGGGATCGCCCTGAGCTTTGCCGAATATGCTGTGGCCCCCTTTTATGGCGGAGGGGCCCCTCCACAGCTGCTCCTCAAATGCGTGGCTGCGGTAGCGATCCTGGCCTTGGCTCTGGTCAACTGTCTGAACGTCCGCTTGTCCACTGGCATCCAGGTGGTTACTATGGCCATTAAAGGGCTGACGCTGGGGGGGATCATACTGGGAGGAGTCGTGATGCTTGTTCAGGGCCACACTGCAAACTTTCAAGGCTCTTTCGATGGAACAAACGTCGGTGTGAATGACATTGGCATCGCCTTCTATCAGGGCCTGTGGTCTTATGACGGCTGGAATACTTTGAATTATTTGACCGAGGAGCTCAAACAACCAGAAGTAAGACTGATGAGGTTTTCGGTCCCTTGGTAACAGTTCAACAATTCTATCTCTCATCTTATAATGTCTGATTGAATTCTGGATGTTCTTTCAAACTTTTTTATTGGACTTTGGCTGCTTTTACTTGTTTTCATCGTAGCTGTTTGTGATGCTGGACTGGAAATGAGAGGCAACAATTAACTCAGGCAAAATCCAAAGGAAAAGCTTTAAAATACTTTTTGACTTACTAAACTATTAGATGAAAGTGAGTGTTATGCTCATGCATATCAGAGGTTGGAGATAAATATGCGTACATGTTATGGGCTATAGGGAAAATTCCATTATTTTTTGTTTGTTTCCTTCTTTATCAACGTCAGCCCAAATATTTTACCATACAGATGTCCTATGTAAAGATTTCAGAAAACCTAGAACTGATGATAAAAAAATTCAAGAATGTCTTGATAACAAGAGACTTTTTTGTTGATACGTAAGGTTAAAGTTGGTGTATATACAATAATCTACAGAGCTTATATAATGAGTTTACGATCCCCTGATGGATGTTAAAACCTTTACAACCAGGCTTATAGCCAGCGTTCCTCGTGCCCTCTGACCAGTCATTGGTTTCTCTCTGAAAGTGTCTGCAGACTTCTTAAAGCTTTCATAGCGTTTTGGTCCCTTTTTCCTCAGTTTCCACCATGGCAAATAAAAAAGCAGAAGGCCTTAAAATGAAGCGTGTGATTGGACTGGATGGAGGCATAGCTCTTGTCTCTGGAACCATGATCGGTTCTGGGATTTTCATGTCCCCACAGTTTGTTTTGGCCTACGTTGGAAGCCCTGGAGCGAGTCTGGTGATCTGGGCCCTCTGTGGAGCAGTGGTTCTGCTTGCTGCGCTCTCCTACACTGAACTTGGGACCATCCTTCCTGAATCTGGAGGGGAGTTCGTCTACATCCTGAGGATATATGGGTCATGCCCCGCTTTCTTTGCAGCTGTCACTTTTATCCTGCTGGTGAAACCTTTCAGCATCGCTGCCATGGCCATCAGCATAGCAGAGTATAGCATGGCACCATTTTACCCCGGCTGCCAGCCTCCTCCTCTCGCTTTAAAATGCACCGCAGCTCTCGCCATCCTCGTCGTTTCTTCCTTAAACATCCTGAATTCCCGGATTGCTGTCAGAGTTCAAGTCATCTTCTTAGTGGCCAAAGTTTTAGCACTGACTTTCATTGTAATTGGAGGAATACTGAAGCTCATACAGAGTAGTACCGTGTTTGTGGAAAATTTTAAAGTAGAAAACTCATTTAAAGATACACATTACTCTGTGAGCGCTTTAGGAATGGCTTTCTATCAGGGTCTCTGGTCTTATGCCGGCTGGTACAACCTAAACTATGTCACGGAGGAACTTAAAAGACCAGAGGTGAGACTTTATGTAAGCTTTTGTGTTTCATTAACTTAATGTATTCATTCTGTGGTAAAGCTGAATCTATATCACAACATAAGAATTTTTAGTCTCAAAACCTGTTTGAATTCTTTTCAGTAAGCTATGATCTTTCTGTATATTATGAGGGATTCAAAATGTACTAATTATTGATGTTAAAAAAAAAACTAAAAAAGAAATATACATATTTGGAGCTTGCAAACACTAAAATCAAGAATCAAATGTATTTGTGACTATGAGGCCTCAGGAATCTGACTGATTTTAGACGGAGCTGAGAAGCATCTGTTTTTTTTCCACAGATGGTCATGATCAAGAATCTGCTTGTCCATAAATGTTTGTGTCCTTTATAGTGAATAATCTTATTTTGTTGGCCTAGAACTTCATGATGTGTGATGAATTTATGATTAGTTGAATGTTTGTCAGTGATTTGTTTTGGGGATCCACCTCTTTGTTTCTCCTTGGAAGGACTATTTTAAGTGAAATCTTAAGAGAAGCTGCAACATCTAGCCAAAAAAAAAACTTTTTTAAAAATACAATTTCTTTCTTTTTTAACCGGACAAACTGCTTATAAATACAGGAAAATGTGTAACGTCTCACAAGCACAGATTTTCCGTGATCTCCTCTCCGCCTCGGGAGGTCATACTGGAAAACTTCACTAAGCTGACTTCTGTAAAAAAAAAAAAAAAAGCTGAAGCCCAGTCGTACAAATCAAGGCCTTAATGCCAAAGCAATATTTCTTTTGTACTTAATAAAATCTTTGCTAAGTTCAATCCAAGTCTAGTTTAGTCTCTCTCCATGCTTTGACAGGTTAAATATCACTCAGCAAATCTAATCTTTGTACTTTTAACGATCTTGCTCCATCCTCCGTGTGACAAACCACTGAACATCATGAGTCAGGAGAAACAGCTTTTGCCTCATAGAGGAAAAAAACTGCGGTCAAATCAAATAGATGTAATCAACACAGGTTATCACTGGCAGAGACCCTATCCAGTAATTTAGCAAGAAAATGAGACAATGCTCCTCGGATCCTCAGAGCCCTATAGACTTAAAACCTGGCTGCATCTTTGCTGCATGGAGGCAGGTTGCCTGTGTATATCTCAGATACAGGGAAGCGTTGACACTACATGGAATAGGACCAAAATGTCAGGACCACTATTCTGACCAGCCACAGTATAATAGATAAGAGATCAGACCTATAGTCAGCTTGAATCTCACAGACCCAGCATGATTCTGTCTGGATCTGGGTTTTGCTTCTGTCGAGTCTTGGCACAATCAGGCTCTGTATTATCAGCCTGGTTGTTGTTCCAAGAATGGGAAGTGTTGCTGGCGCCTGCTGTCTGGATAGATCCTCCTTTGGATCATGATGGAGCTGATTGCTGATAAAAACATGAACACTATAGATTGAATAACTTATGTGGGTTAGGCTAACCATGCATTCATATTATGTGGAGAAACATTAAGTCTCACAACTTCATAGTGTTTCCGGATGTTCAGTTGGTCTTTTAGACAATTAATGGAAACAGAATATATCTAGGAAGGGGAAAGATTACCTTAAAGTGAGTCAAACATCCTATCAGTTGCTGGCTGCTGCTCCTCTGACTGTTTAGCTTGCTGGTGTTCTTTGTTTTGTGTATTTGTGGACTTCTTACCATCCCTTTAATAAGTTGATCTTCTATCGTTGGCTGCTCTCAGGTTACAGATGCATCTTCCATATAAATTGCTTCTTCATTGAAAACTCATCAGGACCCGGATACTTTTTGCTCTGCATCACCAACATCTCATGTCATCAGTGACTTTAGACATTTGTTGATGATACTCAGATCCCTGTGCAGATCTGATATTTCCACTATCATATCCTTAGCAGGTGTAAAAAGAGGGTTCATCCCTAAATGCCACTTTAGGCCAAAGACAAAT